CGTGACATTGTCGGATAATCGCGAGTTAGCGAATATTTTAGGTGCCGTAAAAGCCTTCCTAAAATATAAATATGAATCCCCGAACCCCCTTTAAAGTTTTCTAATCGATTTTCTGTTTAAGTCTTTTGAAAATTAAGTTTTTTTAAAAATTAAGTGGCAACTCTCAAAAAGTCAAAAAACTTATAAAAATATAGATTTCCGAATTAAAACTTAAGGAAAAAATAAGTTGATTTGTAAAACATTTTCCAAAAAATTTAAGCCAACTGAACATGAAAAAATTGAGAAATATTTTCTGTGAAACATTTTCCTTCATTCCAAACACACCCTTATATGCATAAGACGAAGATTTATTTTGCATTCTTACCAAGTATACATTATAATGATTAAACCTGCACATAAAATGATCTTACAGAGTTATAACATCACTTTAGTATTTGAACATCGATCAACGAAAAAATGATGCATGAAACTCATCCCCCCACCCCCACCCCCCAAAAAAAAAAAGAGTTGGACCTTTTTAGTTGTTCAACGTTTGATTTTGAAGTAATATTTGAAAGACAAGTTGTAAAAAATAATTCTTAAGAAAGTTTGTGAAAAAGATAAATAAAAAAAATAAAGTATTCACATGCACTTCATGTCTCATCTACAATTTTGGCAAACATACCCATGAAGTAAAGTAACTTTTGCAGACAAAGAAGTTATCATATATGAAGAGCATGAGGTTGGGCGTATTTTGGTCTCAAATTAATTTTAGTAAACCTTGGGCTTGAAAGTATGAGTTAGGCTCATCATGTCAATTTAATAGAATAGTCCAAATGCAATTGGACTTTATTTAAGTCATTCAACTTTTAGAAAAATTAGCAATTAAGTCATAATTATTAATATATTTAGTCAAAATAATAATATTTTAAAATATTTATTTAAAATGTCATAATGATAATATTTTAACAAATAAAATGTATCATAATATAATTAATTTACTTCCTTTCATTTCTCAAATTAGGCTCACTTTTTGATTAAAAATAATACTTCATTATTCACTTTTCATTCTCTAAATATTTTTATCTAAATTCTATCATTTCTCTTTTTTCTTTAAAGATTTCTTTCATTATTCCATATTCTCAAGTAACTTAAATCTTGTCTTTTTCTAAAATCAAAATCCTCTATTTTTATGAGAATCTTAGAAATCATTCAAAAGATTTTCGATCTTTGTCAAAGTATTGAAATACAAAAATATTTTATATGGTTTTTATTTTATATGTTTTGTATGTTGGATCTAAATTTGGAAGAAGTATCAGGTGAAAAAGTGTCATTTTTGAAGTGTCAATATTAGGATAAATCCGTCATGAGTATTGAATTGGATCTGAAACATGTA